TGTTGTTTGTGGTTCACCATTGAATAGATGAAGGCTTAGGGAGACTCCAGAACTTGTCCAGAGTCACATATGGAGCCAGGGTGTTGCCTGAATTTCAGTTCTGAAAACTCTATTTCACATCTGTGTTTGTCAGTCTGGTAGTTGAGATATTTTGAGTGACTATATAAAGTAGAACAAACTCTGTAAACTGAATAGACCCGCATCCCAGTCAATGCTCTTAATTTCATATTTAAATCTCTCTCTCTCTCTCTCTCTGTTTCTCTCTCTCTCTCTCTCTCTCTCTCTCACACACACACACACACACACACACACACACACAATAGAGACAATAGGAATATTTCAATGGAAGACTCAAAATTCCCAATTCCATGCAATTTTAAAGAACCACCTCACCTAGCTCACTTGTTTTTACCTTAACCTATTCATGGCTATTTCAGGTAGAAAGAAAAATGGTGGTAATTTTTACTTTGTCTGTGTTTAAAGTCCATCCAAGATCCTATGGTAAAAAAGGGAAAGATCGAGTGTTAGATTGGTTTTGTGTTACCCAATAATGAAACAAATATAGAAATATGAAATCTGCCAGCAGTTAGCCCAGACGGGTCCCATGCCAGTTACTTCTTTTGCTCAAATCACCCCCAAAGAGGAAGTTACATGATAGGAAAGATGTGGGGACTGAGAAGTGAGGACAGAGGAGAAAACCCACTGTGCTTCCAGTCCTGTCGTGTGCCAAGGCTCCCTGCCCAGCTGAGTTCAGCTGAATGAGAGACTCCCAGAGGCACTCTTTATTCTAGGCCGATGTCAGCGGGAAACCTGAAGGCCGACGGGGGCGGAAACGGGTGGGTCCTCACCGCTCCGTCTCTGTGGAACTCACCTTGGAGGGTAGATGAAGAGGGACAGGCGGCTCCAAGGGCTGGCTTGGTCAACCAGACTCTTAAAAGAGCATTAAATTCTGAACTGGCGACTCCAAAGATGGCGCTTACTCTGAGTGTCTGACACATAACAGAGGATTAATAAGTATTCACGTAATGGACGGATGAACTACACTTCCATTAGGACGTCTTGGAGGACTGTCCTGTGATCGATGACGACGCAGCGTCAGAGCCCGGTGGAAATGAAGCCTGTGACTGAGGAGTGACGTCTGCTGTGAGGTGGAAGGCGGGGCGGAGAGGCCTGGAGGCTAATTCTTGGCCACAGTAGGATTTCTTTCTAGTGCAGTGGACGTATCACGTTAAATCGCAGACTTGTATCTTCCTAACCTGAATATGGAAATGGCAAAGAGAGAAAAAAAAAAAAAAAAAGGAGCAGAAAGGGAATAGTTGATGAAGAGAAAAATAATTAGGAAAATTGGGGAGAAAAGGTGTTTTAGAACAAGAAATAAAATGGCTTAAGGCTGCCAAATCCTGGCTTTTAATTCCCATGCGGAATTTCACCTGGACCTTCTGTTTTTATGCACAAAATTAAAAGGAGTCAAGAAATCCCTGTGTTCTTATTTTTGTGGACAAAAACAACCCTGATGGGAAGAATAGCTTTCGAAGGGAAAAAGCTGACAAAGCAACTCGGAAAAGATCAGGTCAAGAATCAACAGTTCAGGAAAGAAAATGTTGTCACTTTGTTTTTGTTGCTGCTGTTGTTGTTATGATTTTTTAAATTAAACTTATTGGGGTGACATTGGTTAATAAAATAATATAGGTTGCAAGTGTACAATTCTGTAATACCTCATCTCTATATCTCATTGTGTGTTCATCAATCAAAGGCAAATCTTCTGTCTGTCACTCTGTTAACTGACACCTCCTAGATTTTCTAGAACCAAGTTTATCCAGGGTCTATAAAAGCCACAGCTCTCTGATCCATTTAGCGATTTGATTATTTGTCTGTCAGTTTTCAGACTGGTTTCCTAGACTCCTGCTAAAAAATTAAGCACACCCAGCTGTACATCCTTGCCCCAAGCCCCTTTCAGACTGCAGGTGAAATGCAGAAGTGGGAAACACCTGGACCAGATCCAAGCCCACAGAGAAATGAATCTGAGGCCTGAATCATGGCTTAGCCCTGCATGAGATGGTGCCGCAAAGTGGCCCGTGCTCAAACTGAGAAAGAAAGCAGACATGGGACTTCCCTCTTGCCTCTTTTTGGAGGAAGTGAAATTACAGTTCTGCAACCCAGATGAATAAATACCTCTTGTAGAAAAGTTGTGTTTTTCTTCTAGAGACCAGAGTTCAGTTTTCAGACCCGGGCCCAGGAGCGTGTCACCTGAGAGTGTGCGATCGCGTATGCCATTTCAATACAAGAGAAAGTTGAAATAACCGGTGAGCAGAGTGAAGCAAGAAAGAAGCGAGTGAAACGCTCTGGTCAGACGCTCGCAGGCTTCTTCCCCGCCCTTGACCATGATGATTATCGGTGTCAGCAGTGGGGGCAGCTTTAAGTGGGACCAAACTTCCCATCATTCACACTTCTCCTTCACTGTTTCCTTGGGAACCGAAAAGAGAACTTCCTTGAGCACAGCAATCAAAGAGTCATAGGCTTTGGATCATTTCAGGTATATGAAAATTCCAGAAATAATTCGCTTTTTAAAAATTATATTTAGTGTCGGTTATTTTCCTGAGTACTAAAGGGACGATTACCCAGTACTCACCCCTGTATCTGGTGCTTAGTTGATTCTCAGTAAAAATTGGTCAATTGAGTAAAGACATGTTCACGATAGAAAACTCAAAAAAAAAAAAATACAGAAAAGTTAGAGAGAAAAATTTAAATAATTCGTAAAACCTACCAACCAGATATAATTACTGTCAATGGGTTGTTGTATATGCCTCCAGTCACATGTATATCTGTACACAGTTGAGATCATGTTGAGTGTATATCATGCTTTTTTTCACTTAACCTTATGGCATAAGAATTTCTCATGTTATTAAAATGGAATACATAATTATGGTGACTGTACATAAACTCTTTTGTCATATGGCTGCAATCTGCTTTACTCTTGTTAGCTCATTTAGCTATGTTCAATTGTTTGCTATGACAAACATGGAAAGGAAGGCTGTCCAAGAAAATGGCAGCGACCGGGCGTTTTGAAATGTGGGAACGTCTCAGTATAGGACGATCGATATTTGCCTTGCTTATTTTCTCATTGCAGAAGAGTGAGTTCTCAACGGGATTTATTAAAGAGAAAAACAAAGGGTAAGAAATTGCTAGCATGTCTTCAAAACAGTGTAAGTGAGAGAGTTTTCTGATTCTAATGAAGTAGCCCGGAAACAGTTTGAAGAAAAGCGTGTGAATATTTCAAAGACTTATTGGAAGTACTAAAAGGCATGTGACTCTAATTTTTCTAATTCTCGGATTATTCTACTGAGCTATACATTTATAACTAACTGATTTGTAAATTAGCCAGGACATCCTGTGCAGAGGCTTGCCTCTCTAGCCAAGGACAAACTGGACACTGGTTCATTAATTAATCCTTCTTGGGTGTAAGTGAATTCCCGAAGCATGGTAACCAAAACATGAATCGACCCAGAAAGTGGGTATTTCTGAGTTTACGGAACACAGTATAATTATTATTTTAATAATAACCAGTGAAGCTCAGCCTGGGAAGCTAGGCAACTGGCCTCATTATTTCAGAAAACACGGCAATTTGCATCTGTGGCAATCTAGGGTAATTCAATTCCTTGAAACCTTTTTTCCAGGATGCGTACAGGTGATAGTGTAGTGCTACTTGGGAATTGAAACACGACTTTTCCAATCTCAGCACCGCATCTGGTTCGTGGTATGATTGGAGGGGCCATAAGGATGCAACTGGGAGGAGCTTCGTTAAGTCACCTGGATCCCCTGACTACCCCTAAAGGTACTAAGAAGCACCTGAGTGTCCCAAAGACTTGACAGAGCTTCAGTCAATCCTGATATTAGATCAGTGGGGCCTGGAAGCTCTATGCTAAATTACAGGGTCTAATGCCCTAGCATAACAGCACTAATGAAAATTCACAAAATTATGTTCTAATGATGTAACAAATGAATTGACGTCTTTAAAAAAAAATTGAGCAATAAAGAGCCATATTCTTCTTTATGCATCTATGCTGATTACGTGCCCTTAAATGAACAACGGAATGAAAAATTAAGGGTATAACATCAGGTACCAAATTATTGCCAGACACACACACACACACACACACACACACACACACACACACACATGGTGTATAAGTGTGTATATACATATACACATAGTCCTTGTCCACAGCCTGGTTTTGGTAGATCAAAATCTAGATTATAGTATGGATTTTCTCTTGGCTTGAACATCTCTATCGGAAAGAAAACAACAACACGACGTGGGGGCCCTGGCCTCACTCCAGCGCTGAGGACGCTGCAGACGGAGGTACCCAGCGTATCCTCTTTGGGTCCCTTCGGCTCTGCCCCAGATAACACCATCCCCACAGCCGGACTATCAGGGCTTATAACGAGGAAACTCCACAGGACCCGTGTCCAAGATTTTCACTCCTTTCTTCCGTGTGAACAACCTTCACCCTCAGGTGCATGGGAAACCCAGGCGGTGGCCTTGACCTACCTCTAGCCTAGGTGTGGTGGAAGCAGGGTATCTCAGCTCACCGCTGCATTTACAGTATGAGGAAACAGATATTGGAGTTCTGGGAAAGCTGTGAGGGAAGATTTGAAACATCAACAGAGTAAACCTGAAGCAAAACCAAAGCTTTCTTTCAAAGCTGAAAGCTCATGTGGGGAAGCAGTCGGCCTGTGGTTGCGTTTCTTGTGCCCACGACCGCTGCGGCGGAACTGACCAGGGCCGCGGGGAGGTGGGGGACTCTTAGGATCGTTAGCCGTTAAGGACGCAGGGTTGCGTTTGCACATCTGGCACAAAATAATTTTTTTCAAAGTGCTGGTAGACCTTAGTATTCCAACCGACTCTTACTTCCCCATTTCGCAATGAGATTTGCCTAAAGAGGAACCAGCAGATTTAGGAGAACTGTTGAATTTTGTGTGTGTTTCAGCAGCTACTCTCTTGCACATCGGTTCAGTTTGCACCAAGCTCACTGGCCGCTGCGTAGAACGGGCCAGCGGCTGGGGCTGTCTGAACCATGAACAGCCTCGGTGGTGCCGTCCTCTTCTGGGCAGTGGCAGCATGGGCTAAAGTGGACAAGCCTCTGGGACAGATAGATGAGGCTGGGTTTCAAAAATGCAAGAATGTCTTAAAGCTGCCTGTTCTGGAAGTCTTACCTGGAGGGGGCTGGGATAATCTGCGGAACGTGGACATGGGACGGGTGATGGACTTGACTTATGCCAACTGTAAGACCACAGAGGACGGACAGTACATCATCCCCGATGAGATCTTCACCATCGCCCAGAAAGAGAGCAACCTGGAGATGAACTCAGAGATCCTGGAATCCTGGGTGAACTACCAGAGCGTCACCTCCTATTCTATCAACACGGAGCTCTCCCTTTTTTCCAAAGTCAACGGCAAGTTCTCCCCTGGGTTCCAGAGGATGAAGACCCTTCAAGTGAAGGACCAAGCTGTAACCACTCAGGTCCAGGTAAGAAACCTGATCTACAGCGTCAAAATCAACCCCACTTCAGAACTAAACCGGGAGTTTAAGAAGTTGCTCGTGGACATCTCCGACCGTCTGGAGAACAACCAGACGCGGATGGCCACCTACTTGGCAGAACTCCTGGTCCTCAACTATGGCACCCACGTCGTCACCAGTGTGGATGCCGGGGCCGTCCTCATTCAGGAGGACCACATCAGATCCTCCTTCCTGCAGGACAGCCAGAGCAGCCGGAACATGGTGACCGCCTCGGCTGGACTTGTCTTTCTTGATGTCGTGAACTTCAAGTTTGAGGAGAACCACACCTCACAGAACGCCTTCACCAAGAGCTACCTCTCCAACCGAACCCACTCCAGGGTGCAAAGCATTGGCGGGGTTCCCTTCTACCCAGGCATCACCCTCCAGGCCTGGCAGCAGGGCATCGCCAACCACCTGGTGGCCGTGGACCGCTCCGGCCTGCCTCTGCATTTTTTCGTCAACCCCGACATGCTGCCCGACCTGCCAGGCCCCTTGGTGAAGAAGTTGTCTAAGACGGTGGAAAACGCTGTCAGACGCTACTACGCGTTCAACACCTACCCGGGATGCACAGACCTTAACTCGCCCAACTTCAATTTTCAGGCCAACTCCGATGATGGCTCTTGTGTGGGGAAGGTGACCAACGTTTCCTTCGGTGGGGTTTATCAAGAATGCACCCAGCTCTCGGGGAATGAGGCCGTCCAAGTCTGCCAAACCTTGGAGCAGAAGAATCCTCTCACTGGCGGCTTCTCCTGCCCCTCCGGCTACAGCCCCACCCGCCTGCTGTCCCAGGTCCTCGAGGAGGGCTACAACAGCCTGGAGTGTCAACGGAAGTGCACCCTCCTCGTCTTCTGCAAGACGGTGTGCGAAGACGTGTTCCGAGTGGCAAAGGCGGAATTCAGGGCTTTCTGGTGCTCGGCCACTGGCCCCGTCCCGGACGCCTCGGGACTCCTTTTTGGGGGGCTCTTCAGCTCGAAGAGCATTAACCCTTTGACGAACGCGCAGTCGTGCCCCGCTGGCTACATTCCACTGAGACTCTTTGAAACCCTCAAAGTATGTGTCTCTCAGGACTACGAGCTGGGATTTCGATTTTCGGTCCCCTTCGGTGGCTTCTTCAGCTGTGCCGTCGGGAACCCCCTGGTGGACTCTGCCATATCCAGAGACTCGGGGGCACCAGCTCTGAAAAAGTGTCCCGGGGGCTTCAGCCAACACCTCGCCCTCATCAGTGACGGGTGCCAAGTGTCCTACTGCGTCAAGTCTGGGCTTTTTACAGGAGGGTCTCTGCCCCCCGCCAGGCTCCCTCCTTACACCCGGCCACCTCTCATGAGTCAGGCTGCCACCAACACTGTCATGGTGACTAATACCGAGACTTCAAGCTCCTGGATTAAAAACCCCCAGACCAACCAGTGGAAGCTGGGTGAGCCGCTGGAACTGCGCAGGGCCATGAAGGTCCTCCACGGGGACGGGGCCGGCCTGTCCGGAGGAGCGGCTGCCGGGGTTACCTTGGCGGTCACCACTGTCCTGGCGGTCGTCATTGCCCTGGTCATCTACGGCACCCGGAAGTACAAGAAGAGGGGATACCGGGCAATCGAGGACGAGAGACGGAGTTTGGTTTCCGGCGCCGCAGAGACGGGGGAGACGGGAGAGCCCACCGAGCCCGCCCAGCAGGAGCAGAGTCCAGCCTGAACCCCTCCCAGAAGCCGTATCGCTTCCCCGCAGAGCTTCAAGCATCTTCCCTTCCTTCTCTCTCCGCTTCTGCCTTCTTAACTGCTGACGTGGCAGGTGCAACAAAAAAGCAGGTATCACTTTGTGACTTCTTTGGGTCTCTGGGCCAGGAAAATTATAGAGCTACACGGACAAGTTTGGGGCTGGGTTTGGGGAGCCGTTGTGACTTTCTAAGCAAAGTCGTCTTGGGGACTAAAACACGAAGGGGGTGTCTTTTTCTCTTTGTGTGCCAGTAATTATCTCCACCTGAATGCATACACGTCAAAGCAGAGGAGAATGTTGACAGCTGAATTCGGAAATGATGCATTTAATCGGAGGTTGGTTTCCCATTCACGAGCTTTAAGAATCTGCTTTCAAGAGTCATCCTCCACTGCTTTGTTTTTTAAAAGTTGTCTGTATTCGCTACTCCTGGAGGCTGGCAGAGCCCCCAGAAGACAGAAAGTCCTGCCTGGCCCAGCTTTTCAGCTTTGAGGGCTCTGTGTTGACGGGCTGTGTCACCTCTTCTCGGTCACGTCAGCATCGTCTGAACAGAAAACTGTTGCTTATACCAAGCCCATGTTTTCCGACTTCCCCCAATTTAAGATGTTCTTAGATCAGACCACTCTTGGACTTTGGACTAGTGTCATAAAGTCCTCAGAAAAATATTTCAACTTATAAACTTCTATTAGGATGTCAAGGGAGAAGGGATAGGTTGTAGAAGAGGAGTAAGTGAAGTGAGGATAAAAACCGGAAAAGATTCTGGCGTTCAGAGTAAATTGGGACTTTTACCCACAGCCAGCCACCCGGCTTCTTCCTCTGAGCCCATCGTAAACGAGGCAAAGTAAGGAGCGTAGATCTGGATGGATCCACCTCGACAATTTTCTGGTCTGTGCTGACAAAGCACAACCCTTTCATCCTCCATGAGTGGCCCTCGCCCTTCATGACTCCTATCACTCACACACACACACACATACACACACACACACACCCCCCACATTCCGACAAGACGGCTGCATTTTTCTGAGGGTGGGAGACAAGGAAAAAAGCAAGAAGTCAAAGAAACTCACCCCTAAGTTTTTCATTCTCCCTAAAACCAAAACACAGTAGACACCAGTTATGCACCCTACCTTTATTTTTTTCCAACAGAAAGGGGGCTGACAGGATCCAATCTATATTTTTAAATGACATACTTCTTTCAGGTCCAAGTTGATTTGCCTGGGGCACCTCACAGGACGTATGATTGTCACCTGACGCTTGGAGGCTTTGCTCGGTTTTAATACCACCCTCACCCCATTGTAATTATCAGGGTGAAGGTATTAAGGTTCCTCCGCCACATTTTTAAGTTCTATATTTTCTTCGCCAAATCAAGTGTCATTAGTGAGTGATCTTCTGTGAAGGATAATTTGTCCTCTCGTTAATATTCACAGTCAAGAGCTTAGGCTGACACTAGGTCTTTCTTCGGAGGAGCCGCCAGAAGCATCCCGGCCTGTGGGAAGAGGGGGAAGAGAATCCTCCTCTGCCTCCCACTGTGACACGGAGAAGAGGAGGGAGTCACAGGGTGGGAGCTCAGCTCTCCCCACTGCCCAGGCGGGCACACCAGTGTCTGCAGCCCCTTCACCGAACCCCTCCACTTCAAGCATTAAAATGTTCTCTGAAACCTCTGGGTGTTTTGTGGGCAAGTGTCAGCCACGCTAACCACTTTTCTGCAAATATCGACTTTCCCATGAATTCTTTGAAGATGACTGAGTCCGAGAGACCAAGGAGAGCTGTGGGCTCCCAGGCTTTTCATGCATTAACTACCCAGGGAAATGAAAACGTTTTTCATGAACTTGTGTTTTGACTAACAAAATCACACATAACTATGCATTACAATGTGTACTTAAGGAACACTTGGTCCGAAATCGGAACGTGGGAGCTTGCATGGCGCATCGATTATGTCCTTTTTTTACCAGGTAGAAACCAGAGGGGACAGTTCCCAGGCTCTGCTTCCAGGACTAGGGGGCCCAGGCAGGGGTCTGTGGAAAGGCTCCCCCACTTCCAAGAAAAACTATACTCTGTGGGCGCTCAGAAATAGAGACACACTTGCTTTGCAATAACAAAGGCAGCTTTGCAATAACAGCATTTTATTTTCATGTTCTCATTAGTATCAGGATGGTCAATACTAAAACATTTATTTGAAAAACAGCAGCTTGTAAACTGTTGGAACATACACTCTAGTGTGGTCAGGTGAAGGGAACTTGAAGAAGCGAACACTCACGGGTTTTAAAAGGTCTTTTCCCCCATAGATTCATTTAGTTATTTCCCCTGCCATGTGGTCTGTTTTCTTTAGAAGAACAAGAAGTCAAGCCAGGTCGCTTGGTCAAATGTGTGGGTGGAAAAGACGTGGAAAAAGAAAAAAGAAAAAAGTAAAGGGATTCCCCCCACCCCATCCCGTGGTTGCTGACAGACTCGGGGAGGTTCTCCAACTTCTTCACAGACGGCGGGGGGAGGGGGGGGGACCCTGCAGAAAGCGGAAGGTTGACAACAGTTCGTGGTTGTTCATTTGCCGTTTATTGTTCTGCACATACACCTCATGAGCACCAGGTGGTGATGTCCTCCTCCAGAGCAACACCAAGGACTTCAAAACACACCAGTTTACAAGGATTTACGTTCTCAGGACATTCACCTGCCCTCGCCCAGAAACCCGCCCCCCCATCAAATGCCAGCGACAAGGAAAGGGGACAGAGCCCTTTCTCGTACCACACAGGGACTTCCCCCAGTCCTCTTAGGCACACGACAGTGCAACCAAGTATAAAACAACAGAGAAATCCAAATTTTACCAAAAAAAAAAAAAAAAAAAAAAAATGTGGGGGAAGGGGATGAAAACACAAAGGTACACACGACCGCATATACACACTTAACCCTTAAGGGATGAGCATCTGACAGTTTGTCTCCAGTCCCATTTGTCGTCTGTGGAGACTCAGGGAGGGAGAAACTGGGCTGCTGGAAGGAAAGGCATGGACTTCCTTGCAGGAGCCAGAGAACTCAGCAAGGCGTCTGGTGGGGGAGCGCCCTGTGCCGGGGTGCTGGGTGCACAGGGCCTCTGGGGGGTTCTCCCCGCACCCG